GCTGACTCCAGGGATCTTTACTATAAACGCCTGTACCGAGAGTTAAAATGTAAGGGCATGTTTGTAGTTTTCAGGATACCCTTCCTCTTTATAGAAATGATGCATTGTTAATATGTAGAAAATAAGGGGAACAGGCAAAAAGGAAGAAAGTCAGATTTACCACTCAGAGATGGCCACTGCTAACCTTTCAAAAGCATGCAGTCCTGCTACTACTCTTCCGGTCACCCTGAGGTCATAGGGAATATACAGGTTTCTAACTTGGCTTTTTATCTAACGTGTTCAGGTGCTTCTGTACCTAAAGTATGGGTCTGGTAGCTGTATTGTATTATTATCTATCTACTGGTCAGACCACAGTCTGTTAATTCATTACCCTTGGGCATTTATTTCCAGTTTCTTCTTTTTGTTTGTTTTTTGTTTGCTATTATAAATGTTGTTGCAGAGAACATCCTTGCACCTAAATCTTTGAGTACTTCTCAGATTATTTCCTTGGAATAATTGCTGAGAAGTGGAATTTTGGGGACCAGCAGTTAGCATAATGGCTATGTCGCTGAACTCTCATATGGTCGACCACAGTTCAAGGCCTGGACCTAGTGGCTTGAACTCATATGCGTGTATGCGTGCGTGCCCAAGATCCCGAGAGGAGAATGGAGGAGAAGGGATTGCGACGTGGCCATCCCCTCTGGGGGTGATTTCTCACTTTCTATCTCTCTGTCTCTCTCTGTCTTTTTGGCGAGCGCACACGCCCTATAGCAAAAATCTCTCAAGAAAAAAAAAATGGGATTTTGGAGTAGAGAGTATAAGCATTTTCAAGTGTTTGATACATATGGCCCAGCTGCCCTTCAGGAAGGTTGTACCAATTTACTCTCCCACCAGCCAGCTGCTAAGATCCTCATAAAACTGCTGGCATGACTTCTCAAGGCAACTAGATAACTGTATTTGTTGGTGTTATTGATTTCAACTTTGTGCTAAAAATATTTTTATATCTGGAAGGAAGGAATAGGGATAGAGAACGTTGGTGGCATCAGTTCTTAAAACTGTGGGAAGTGACTTAAATGGGCCGGAGAGAAATGTTTAGAAAACACTGGCATAACAGCTGAGTTCCTAGTAAAGACTGGGTCCTAGGTTTTCTTTTTTCTCTGTAATCTCATGTCACATGTGTATTTATGAACAGCCTCAATCTCAAACTTGTATTTTCAAATTCATTGTGTTTTTTAAATTTTAATTTTTGAACTTCTTAGAGAAAGGTGATATGCAAAATCAGGTGAGTCTGATTTTTCTCCCCAACACTTGAAATAAGTGGTTGGTAGTTTTTGAAGTACCTGATTCCCTGTTTAGTAACTCCATTCTATTACTCATTCAAAGCTCTTCTTTATTAGCTAGATGGAATGTGTCCTTTAAACTGTTGTATTTTATAGCATTTATAGGTGGAGCCCAAGCTCAGCTTCACTCTCTGCAGCAAGATAGACCACACTGTCATTTTCTTCTGTCACTTTCAGTTTACTTGACAGAAAAAGCTGAAGCAGAAGAACTTAAATTAGTTATAAATCACAAAACACTTCTTTAGCTTGGGGTTCCGCCAGCGCTTCATTAAGCTATCATTCTCACGAGAAAATCGAGGCAAACTTGCAAAGTGGAAGTGTGGGGCGAATGTCGATGGAATTAGCCACGTTGGGCAGTGTCTCCCCAGGCTTTCAGGACTCGCCTTCTGTATGTATATTGGACCTAAGGTCCCGTAAGAGGAGGTGAGCCGAAAGGTCTCGACCTCAGAGCTGGAAGCTGATCTGAGCAGGGAGTGCTCCAGTTGCCATTTTCTTGCTGTTTACTGTGTGCCAAGCGATGTGCCAGGGTTGTTTTAAACATGACCAAATTTTAGCATCACAGCGACTTTACCACGTTATGGATGTTATCATTTAGAGACGAAGAAACAAGCGTAGGGAAGCAGGCAGCTCATTCAAAGACAGCCGTTCGGGGCCAGAACTGGGACCCACAGCTCTAATCAAAGCGCACTGTCTTAACCGCTGTGCACTCCCTATGAATATCAGCTACACTACCATTTCTTCAAGATTACGTATGCTCTGGAGTTATACTAAGTTCTACGAATGGAACTTCAACACAATCTTCATAACTGTGCAGGAATTGGCATTGTTCACTTATTTTGCCAATGAGAAAAATCAAGTTCAAAGACCTAAATAACTTAACCAAGGGAACACAGGCCATATATTAGCACTGGGGTCAGGGGGTTGGGCTAGACCCTCCCTGGTTAAGTGAGTCAGATCCCACATGGCAGACCATAGTTCAAATCCTGGCCCTGGTGGCTTGAAGATCATGCCAGGCACTTGTGTGTACATGTCCCAAGTCCCAATAGGATGGAGAAAAGGAATAAGGATTACATTATGACCATGCCTTATTGAGGGAGTGGATTGCTCTCTCTCTCATGAGTGCACATGTACTCTGGCAATTAAGAAAGGAAGGAAGGAAGGAAGGAAGGAAGAAAATGGGCCTAATAGGTGGTTTGTGTTTTGGTTTTTGTTTTTTTGGTTTTGGTTTTTTTTTTTTTTTTTTTTTTTGAGAGGTTTTTGCTATAGGGCATGTGCACTCACCAGAAAGACAGACAGAGACAGAGAGATAGAAAGTGAGAAATCACACCCCAGTAGGGATAGCCACGCCACAGTCTCATCTCCTCCTTTCTCCTCTTGGGATCTTGGGCACACACGCACATGCGCCTGGCTTGAATTTAAGCCACCGGGTCCGGGACTTGAACCGCGGTCGACTACATGGGAGTTCAGCGACATAGCCATTACACTAATTGCTGGTCCCATGATAGGTGGTTTGTTGGTTAAGGGTGCTGGACTCCCACATATCTGATAGCAGTTCAAGTCTTGGACCTGGTGACTTGCTTTCTCACTTTCCCTCTCTCTCACGCTCATTCTGTTCCTTTCTGATCAAATTAAAATAAATAAAGTTAAATAATTCTTTAAAAAATAAAAGAAAAACTGGGCCAGCAGATGGCATGGCAGTTAAGGCGCTGAACTACCACATGGCCAACTGTTGTTTGAGTCCTAGATCTGGTGACTTGAAAATCACCACAGGATGGATGTGCGTACATGCCCAAAATTTTGAGAGGGAAATGGAAGCGAAGGGATTGCAGTGTGGCTGTCCCCTGAGGGGGTGATTTCTCACTTCATCTTTCTGTTTCTCTGGCTAGCACACACACCCTTGGCAAAACCTAAAAAAAAAAAAAAAAGAGAGAACTGGAGGATCAAACTATGTCTGCCTGACTTTAAAGCCCTTACCTACTCTCAACAGTATCTGGCTGCCTCATTCTGTATCAGGTTGTGGCTTAAGAACTAAGGTTTAGCACTGAAATTAGGGTGGTTTTTAGGTACAAGCTCTTATGATTAATTTAGCAGAAATCTACTGTATATTAGACCTTAAAGAGAATGACTATATTCTGTACTGGCATGGAATATGACAACTTGGTTCATCATATGTATGTTCCTTTCATATATATGAAACCAGTTTGATTTTTAAAGCTAAATTCATTATTTTAAAATGGGAGCTAATTTGATAATGATGGCAGCCTCTGGCATACTGCCATAACTAATCTCCTTGACTGTTTCTCTTGAGAGCTGGCATTTTCCCAAAGCAAAGCTCAAAATTCAGTTACTATGAATCTGTAGATTACATATATTAAAATAATCCCCTGCCTTACCAGTTCCATGAAACCTAAGTTATGTATATTGCATCATAGTCCATTAAGAAATGGTTCTATGAAATCGGAGAATATCTGTAAAATATCTATCACACATTTCATTTTTCAGCCTTTTGCAAGATTCCTGTAACCTTTTGACTTGGAAAATCCTCTAGCATACCAAGGAGGAAAAAGGTGTAGAATTGTTGAATTCTAGCAGTAGCTTGTTTTCAGTGAATGTAGCCAGAGCCATTGAGGATGAGAGGAATAGATAATGAAGATTTCACAAGAAAGCACTGCAGAAATGTGGGACCAGCACATGACATAGTGGTTAAGGCACTGGACCCTGACATGGCTGACTGTGGTTCAGGTCCTGGACCTGGTGGCTTGAAACTCATGCTGAGCACCTGTGCATGAGTGCTCAGTCTTTAGAGGACAAGGATTGCCGTGTGACCATCCCCCGGAGGGTGATTTCTCATTTTCTATGTCTCTCTCGTGAGCTCACATCGCCTATAGAAAAAAATCTAGAAAGGCACTTTATTATTTTAGAGTCCACAGACAAATATCTGTACAAAATATCTGGGTATTTAAATTACTATGCAAAGCAAGTAAAATAATAGAATTGTTCTGGAATTACAGCCTGCACAGTGCCATGAACTTTACAGCATAGAGATAATAAAATAATGTATTAACTAATTGCCAGTCGTGTTGCTCAATCTTAGTGTCTGAACTGAATCTAAAGGTCTGGGTTAGATGTAAACGACTTGTTCTAGAAGGTTTCATGAAATGTAAGCTGTTGGAAGCAAAGAATATACACAGACCTACAATTGAGAAGAAAGCTTTTTGTAGTCATTTGTTTGGAGAATGTTTGGGATTTTTACTGAAACAGAACAAGGAAGGGACTATGAAAAAATACAGTGCCCCTGACATGGCTGACTGTGGTTCAGGTCCTGGACCTGGTGGCTTGAAACTCATGCTGAGCACCTGTGCATGAGTGCTCAGTCTTTAGAGGACAAGGATTGCCGTGTGACCATCCCCCGGAGGGTGATTTCTCATTTTCTATGTCTCTCTCGTGAGCTCACATCGCCTATAGAAAAAAATCTAGAAAGGCACTTTATTATTTTAGAGTCCACAGACAAATATCTGTACAAAATATCTGGGTATTTAAATTACTATGCAAAGCAAGTAAAATAATAGAATTGTTCTGGAATTACAGCCTGCACAGTGCCATGAACTTTACAGCATAGAGATAATAAAATAATGTATTAACTAATTGCCAGTCGTGTTGCTCAATCTTAGTGTCTGAACTGAATCTAAAGGTCTGGGTTAGATGTAAACGACTTGTTCTAGAAGGTTTCATGAAATGTAAGCTGTTGGAAGCAAAGAATATACACAGACCTACAATTGAGAAGAAAGCTTTTTGTAGTCATTTGTTTGGAGAATGTTTGGGATTTTTACTGAAACAGAACAAGGAAGGGACTATGAAAAAATACAGTGCTGGAGCCCACCAGAGGAGGTCTCGGAGCCTGGGCGTCTTGTAATGCCAGCTTGCTGGTTTCTCCAGTGGTGTGTCAGATACATTTTGAATCGCCAGTAACTGGTGTCTGGGTGATTGCTTGCCCCTGCAGGGGATTCTGAATTGCTGTGAGGGCGGAACACCCAAGGAGACGATAGAAAATTTGTTGCGCAGAATGACTGAAGAGAAGACCCTGACTGCCGAGAGTTTGGTAAAACTCCTTCAGGCTGTGAAGATGACATTCCCAAACTTGGGCCTTCTGCTGGAGAATTTGCAGAAATTAGCCACTTCGCCAAGCGCCACAGGTATTAGTTAATTGTTGACTCGGGACTAGAACCATGCTGATAGAAGATTATAGTTTAAAATACCGTTTGGCTTCACGCTGGAGAGATAAGGTAGAGTTAAGAAAGGTCATCGCAAAACAGAAGCCGGTTGTCACGAGTCAGTGACTCTCAGTATTCCTGGAGTAAAGGTCTGAAGTCTGAGGCTGACCCTGCATTAACCCCTCTTGGGGCTTGCTAGGCTGGCGGTTCCAGCAGTCCCCAAGGTGGCCTCCCTTTGAGTTCCTTCAGATGGGGGAAGCCAGTCCATAGCTCAGGCCTTAGAGAGCAATCCAGCTGAGACCGAGTCTGTCCTGTCCCAGAGCATGTCAGGCTGAGATGGTTTGCAGGGAAGGGGTATAGGGGAAATCAGAGGACCTTTTTCTAGTTGATCCTGACTTGGACAGTTCCAAAAATAAAGAAAACAACCTAAAACCCTACCACTCAAGTATGCCAATATTAATACTTGGGTCTGTTTTACCTATTAACAGTATTTTTATGATTTTGAGATACTATTTAATAATTTTATTATTTTCCCTATTTAATAGTGTAACAACATTGTCCTTCACTTTTTTTTAGAAACTCCTCACAATCCCATTTTTTGGAAGGCCATCTAGCTTTTCCACCCTAAGGATGTATATGGCGTATTACTCATGCCCGTATTTGGGGACAGATGTAGCACAGTGGCTAAGACCATCGGCTTTAATGTCAGAGCCGCCTGGCTTGCAGCCTGCTTCCACGTTTTTAGCTGGGTGACCCTGAGGAAGGGGCTCAGCTTTCTGAACCTCATTTCCTCCAAAAGGGGATAAGATTGTACCTCTCACCCTCATTGTTGTGGCTACATGGGGTAATGCATGTAAAGCATTTACTTGGCGCAGTGCCTGGCGCATGGCAGGCATTCTATAAATATCAGATATTACCATCTTCATCATCATTTTCATCACAGATTTATTACACACACACACACACACACACACACACACACACACACACACACAGGTTGTTGTTGGCCTTCAGATAATTTCTTAAGGTTAGATTTCCAGAAATGGAATTACTGGGCCAAGAAGAAAATAAAATTTTACATATCTGCAAAACGAAGAGAAATGCTTGATAGTTTTGATTTTTCTTTATGTTCAAGTAAATGACCCCTTAAAAGAGAGTGCCTGATGAATCGCTCAAAGGGCATATAAACAAGTGTGGGCCGGTTTTGTGAGCAGTCTTGATTCATGCCTGCTTATCTTTTGGATCGCCACATGGATCCTTTACCTCAGGCCTGACCAATAACAGCCCTTGAGTCTGTGCATCTGAATTTCTTACAAGTCCAGCTTTCTAAGTACCCCCTGTGAGCAGTGGCCAGCTTCTACCACCAGGCACTAGCTTGCAGAGTGCCGGGAAGCACCAAGTGATTAAGCGTAGACCCGAGGAGATCTGAACACACGTACATCAGGCCTCAAGTCAGGAGCTAGACTACTCTGCAGAGTCGGAGCGCTTACCCTGATCGGACGCTGATCTCTGTCGTCGTCTTCCTCTTTCATTTGTGACACCCCGTAGTCTTCTGTAGGACAAGTCTTCCTGAGGTTGTGTTGTATCAAATGCTATTGTTCTGCTACTATTCTTACAGTCCAACCAAGCCTGGATAATTATGGAACTGAGCTCTTGAGACGGTATCACGAAAACCTCTCTGAGCTTCTCACAGACAACCAGATGTTACTAAAGGTGATCTCACATGTGAAGAGCTTAGGCCCTGGAGAGAGAGAGGTAAGAGAAGGAGAGAGAGAGGGAGGGAGGGAAGGCAAAATGAGAGAAAAAAATATGAGTATGTATACGCACATATATTTTCTATAAATAACACATACACAGCTATGTTGAGAAATGCTAAGTAGAGAAGAAATAGAAGGTAACTATTTCTTTTTCTTTTTTAAATTGTACATATTTGTGGGATACAGTATGATTTTTCAGTGTATGGATACTGTGTATGATGATCAAATCAGGGTAATTTGCATATTCATCATCTCAAACATTTATCGTTACTTCGTGTTGGGAACATTTAAAGTCCTCATTTACCTATTTTGATATATACAGTAAATTTTTGTTAACTGTAGTTACTCTACTTTGCTGAAGAACTCTAGAACTTCCTTTTCTTTCATTGTATTTCTTTATCCGTTATTCCCAGCCTCTGGTAACCACTAGCCTACTCGCTCTTCC